TCCATAATTTAAAAAAATTAATTAAACACTACTTTGATATATAATTTACTTAAATATAACCCAAAAAAAAAAAAATCACTTTCTGGGGAACCTCAGCTTTTTGTCCAAATTAAGCTAAGACTTGCACGTTTCAAACTGATTTTATTGATATCGTTCATATTGTCATCTCCAGCTCATCAGTAATCACTCGAGCACATGGACTCCATCGGATCTTAATATGAGAGATACTTAATTAATTTGGATAGATTAAAAAATTCATTTTAAATTAGTTAATCATAGCAAATGTAACAAAATCTCCCTACATACTACCCTTGTATAAAAGTTGGTTAAGTTAGTTATTACAAAAAAGTCATTTATATAAAAGCTAGGTGACTAATTTAAGTAGATTAAAAAAAATAGTTAAGTTACTTATTTGTAATAAATAAATATTATCTTTCTCAAAATACTCTTGCTAATAATATGTATTAGTTAGAATTACTATTTAATGAAATCTTTAACATGTACAGTTATTATAAATATACATCGAGAAAAATAGATATATATATATATATGAGAGACAAAATAGATTAAATTTTTATATTTAGGACCAAATTAAATATCAGACAGGCTCTTATATTGAGGATTGGAGATAGTATATATATCAGCTTATAAGTTAAATAAACTATTCTAGACAAAAAATATATATGAGATAATAAAATAGATTAAGACCATATATTTATAACCAAATTAATTCAATATTTTCTATTTAACTCTTATACTACCTCTAGTCCTTAATATAAGACTTTGTTTGATTTTTTTTTGGTTCTAAATATAAGACCCCAATCTCTTTTGTCTCTCATATTTATGTATTTTTTTCAAGATAGTTCTCCTAACAATAGTAGTTATAGCCAATATACTTAATTAGCAAGGATATTTTAGAAAAGACAACATATATTTATTACAAATAACTAACTTAACTTATTTTTTTATACTCCTCAAATTAGTCAACTAGCTCTTATAATTAGGACCGGAGGTGGTATTAAGGATGAGATGTAATATAAATATCTATACTTTGATACGGCTCTTGGGCACTATTGGATATACATCATCATCAATCACAACAGGTCAAAGTGTGTGTACATATAAGATAAAACAGATTATTTCTTACGTCGTTGTTTCTTAAATATGTCAAACTTGATTATTGTTGCTAATTTCATCACTTACATGCAATTTTTTCTTTTGCTTTTGTAATATCATACACACACAGACGCACAAACACACGGGATCACTATTCTTTATCTTTTTTGGTTTCGTAATCATCTAATAAGTTCACACTGCCACATAAGCTATGACTAATTAAAACATGATTACCCTACAATCAAATTTCTTCCTTGTCCTATTATTAACTATTTGTCAATTAAATATAAATATGTTCCTCAAAATCTCAATTTCAATAATGACCAAACAAAAAACAAACAGATAAATCATTTCAACCTTAGCTAATCAACCGCGAATATTACAGTCACTGACTTTACTTATATTATAGGGTTCATCTAGATGCTCTTTTTCATCTTTTCTATAAAGTTTTAGACATTGTAACCTTCAAACCATGCAATAATTGACATTGACATTCTTCTCTTAGTATATTCGTATTATATACAGACATATATATATATATATATATATGTATAGAGAGAGGGGGGAGGGATAGAGAGAGAGAGATCAATAATTTTAATTAAGTAAATGTTTGATTATTATATTTTAGTTGATGAAATAACACACTATTTCCCAACTCAATACATTAATTTGAGCACCCTCACATTTATTGAGGAATCTTTAATCTTTAAGTCCTCCATTTGAAAGAGAGAAGGAGATATAAGATTATTAGAAGATAAATTTGTGTTTGCTTAAAAAGGAGGTCATGAGTATAATAATAATCAAATCAGGGAATAGTTAAAAAATAAATAAATTCCAGGGGAAAAAACCAGCAATACTCCATAGATATTGAATCGAAGGAGTACTCTCTGTGTGGCATAAACCATAAATTGATATGATTGCAATTTATCTTACAGCTTAATTAATCAACTTTTGAATTAATAATGGAGTGTTTTTTTATTTTTATTTTCCAAAAGTAGTTACGTGTATTTTCCAATAATTGATTTTAATAAATGCATTATAGAAACACTCATGCCAGCAAGAATGGGCATCTTCCCCAAATAATGACACGTGTTTTAATTAGTAAAATGACATTAACGATGTTTATACTTTAAAAAGAAGACAAGCGGGAAGCATTCGTTTGTAACATTCCTTGATAAGTGGCAGAAAATTAGCTAAAATTGATAACTTTGACCCCAGGCATGGGCATGCTATGCGTGCCAATTCTAAGAAGATCGCAAAGACCAACATCGCAAATCATGAGTCTGGGTGTTTTAAAGGGTAAAATAGTTCATTTTTTATTAAATTACAGGAACTAGTGATTTAGGCGGAAAAAAAATTTGAAGGACTAAAATCCATAATCTATAACTTAAAAGATTAAAATTAAAATGAGAATAAATGTGAAGGACCAATTTCATATTAAAGCGCACCTCAACTAGAGATACAACGTTCCAACAATTTATCTGCTTAATGAAACAACCTGTATTACTATGGTGAAATTCTACCCCAACACTTGCAAAAACCATAAGCTAGGGACAAAAAAAAACTATCATGGGTGATTTCTCAATTCTTAGGACCACTATAAATATGTTAGACACTAGTTACTAATTACTCATCCAGTCTGAAATATAAAATCTATTTTATAATATAAATGACACTACAAAATAGATTTTATATTTAGGACTGAAATTCACACATGTATAATACAAAAAGAGAATTGTTAAAAAATCTCAAAAAAGAAACAGAATTATTAAAAAATTCTAGTGACAACAAATCAGTCTATAATAAGTAGTTTTATGGTAGAAAATCACAATCATTTACTTCTCATTGAGACTTACTGACAATTATTTTTTTCTTTGAAATCTAATTATAATTCTCCCTAGCCAAGATGTCATTCTTTGATTGATTATTATTCGTTTTTAATTCTTATTTTACATCATCAGTGGGGGGCACGTCAAGAGTTGCAGATTCCGAAAGGCAGAGCATTTAATTGGAAGAATGGGGCCGAAAAGACTGTTAAGTGAAGATTGAGGGAAGTGATAGAATAGAAGCTGGCATTTTTCTCTATTTGTAGGGCCCGCTGATATAAGCGCCGGTCAAAGTCAAACATGCAATTACTCCTTCAAAATTTCAACACTCTCACGCAAGCAACGGAACATTGATTTTGATTCCGGTCAAAGATTCGCTGGGTTATATTTTTATTAATTCCTTTTTTGAATCATTTCTAGAGGATAAACACCGTCCTATTCCTTCTTATCCTTAAGATATCAGCTCCGGCAGCATCGACAGGATTCCCAAAGCAGAAGCATGCCTTTTGATAATTTTTTTTTGTGTAATTACCAATGATAACATCATAATTTAATATGGGTTAATACAATTTTTTCTATTTAAATTTACTTTCATTTTGGTTTTGTTCTATCAAGTTTCAATCATAGATCATAGTTTCTCGAGTTTCTTTCCATTTAAAATATTAGTCTTTGTAATTTAATAAAAACGTAGACCAATTTATCCCTTAAGAAACTATAACTTACTGTTTAAATTTTGATGGACAAAAACTAACCAAGCCATGCCAAAAATAAAAACATGCATTTTTGAAATGCTAGGCACTCCATCCTCAGTTATAAGTCAGTCTCCAATGAAAAATTAATTACCTACATGTTCTAAGTTATACAATAGCAAGCTTTATGTTTTATCAACAACCAAATCTTCAAATAAGTTGTTAACTAAAAAGTCCCATTCAATAATATCTTTGAACATTCTTCTTGGTCTTCCTTTGCCCTTTTTAAAAGAATTCCAAATTGTCTCATTTACCCTTTTCACCTGCGCCTCCAATAACCTTTTCTACATATGCCCAAACCACTTCAAATAATATTCAACTATTTTCTCTTAGATAGGCACCATACCTAATTTTGCTCTAATGTTATCAAGATACTGGAAACCAAATTGATCATTGAACTGCTCGAAACAGTGGGTCAGACCAGAGTCAACCCAGAGGTCAAACCGGTGAGAAATAAAAAAAAAAAACTTAAATCTTATCATACCATCCAAAGACTAAATATCAATTTAGTACCTTCAATCACTAATATAATAATCATATACTTACATTTTTTTAAAAAAATCTTCTTTACTATTCCTTCAACAAATCGAAATCATAATATCATGCTAGTTGTGAAAATCACTAAATGTTGTTCCTAGCAAAATATCAAAATAAATATATGATAACAAAATATTCCACCTTGCCATTATTCAATCACTAATCATCAAAATAATTTTTTTCTAAAAAAAAGAGGCAACGGGATTAACCCTTCAAATCAATTAGGTTAACCAAGTTGGTCTGGGTTACTTCAAGCCACCCCAGGTTAGCTTTATCACAAACGAGTTTCCCATCCAACCTGGCCAGTCCAGTTTGATTTTCAATACAATGACTATTATCATTTTAAATCTTATTTTTTCTTATATAATCACACATCCATTTTAATATCCTCATTTCTACTACCCTAATTTTAGACTCTTGTTTTTTCTTTAAAGCCAACATTCACGACTATATAACATGACAAGTCTCATAATGATTTTACTCAATTTATCTAATCATCCTTAAATTTAACTTGTTATTTTGCTGTTCTAAGAAAAGTTTGTGCAGGTATTAAAAAAGAGAAACCAAATTCCAGATGATATATAAAAATAGAGATGTATACGTATAAAAGTAAAAAGCAAAAAAAAAAAGAAAAGAAGGGAATCCGCCCACGTCATTTACCCTCCATTTTTCATATTGTGCTTACGTCTTCTGCTTCTGCTACGTTGTTGCAATACAAGGGCCAAGGCAAGGCAGGATGTTTCCAGCACAGTAACCGCATGGCAAAAATTAGGGTTTTCAAGTTTCACCGATTCTGCAAATTTCGAGAAAACAATTTTACAATTGGTCCTTGCACAGACATCAGTAATAAACACCATTTTGTGTTTGTTTTTTTTTTTTGAGGAAAGCAACTGCGTACAGATGTGACCATATAAGCCGCACAATATCTGCAATTAGCAACCTTGAAAAAGGGAGCTGCTCCTCCACTTTAAACACAACAGAGAAATGCGTCCACTAGGATATATAAGCTCTGAAGAGTAGAATAAAACCTAATAAATACTGAAATCTATGCAACTAGATGTTCAGAGGGTCATCAACGCCCAAAAAAACAAAAACCCTGCCCCTATTGCAGCATCTAGATTTCAACATCTGGTTGACACACCAACAAGAAACAATCAGTAACGGTTGAATGAAGATGGGCGGCCACCCCTGCCGCTTGGACGGTCATAAGGACCACCACGTCGGCCACCCCTAAAACTCCTGCCTTGGTCTCGTGCTGGCGCTCCACTTCCGAACCTATCGTTATTTCTTGCACTGGGATACCTGTCATAGGCTCTATCTTTCCCATAACTATTTTGTGGGTAACGGTCTGAACCACCATAGGAATCATTTGCAAACCGATCTCCACTAGGCCGGTACCTACAAGGTTTACAACAAAGTTTTAACAATAGAGATGCATATGTAGAACTCAAATGTCATGCAACGATCAATAGAGGACACGTGCACCCACACTTCCACTAGACATGCAATCAGGAACCTAAGCACATGCTCATGCAATCATGGCATTTCAAAATGCAACATCATCAATACCAAAGGAAAATTGTTAAATGCTGAACGTATAGGCTTGAAAATTACAGAGAAGTAACAAAGCAGCAAACAAAGTGTAGTACTCCGTCCTTATCAAGTTATCAGTTATCATAAGGATATCAAGCATGTTTGATAATATGACATGTTTTGTCTAGAATATTACTTTCTTTCACCTAATATCCCTAACTAACTAATTAGCCAAATCTTTCTAACTAATGACTCTCATTAAGGGTAATTTTGATATTCCAAAAAAATAACTAGATGAGAGTAGCTTGCATGCCTGTCACTGTAGTAGTGATCACGGTCGCCATATTTAGTATCCCCATATTTGTTATCCCGGCTGTCAAAGCGTTCCCTATCTCCAAAACGTCCTCCACCATAACGATCATCAATAAATCGATCACGTTCTCCGAGGCGATCCCCATGGCCACCACCACTTCCAAACCTAGGACGGGAAGAATATGAACCCCCACCCCCACCACGACCTCCTCCTGCCAAAGGACAATCTCGAGCCCAATGGCCAGGTCGCCCACATTTGAAGCAGTCATCCTGTCCTACCCTGCCTCCCACCCCGTAACTTCCTCTGCCACCTGATGAGTAATCATGGTCTAGATCATCTGACCCCATTTTGGGCTGGGCCCTGTTGACAGAGATAATGCGGTCACCAAGCTCCCGTCCGTGCATTTCCTTGATTGCATCCTCCATTCCTCTACGATCTGCAAATGTGATAAACCCAAATCCACGTGGACGACCTGTGTCCCTTTCCAACATGATCTACAGGTTGAACCAGTAGAGAACTTCATGCCAAGCAATAAAGCAGTGTGTGCAACTAACGCTAATAAATTCAATCGCATTTATGACAACAAACAACCTCAATGTAGGTGCACGACCATTGCAAAACCATATTGAAAATATATTAGTTAAACATAACTTACAACAGATGCTGAATATGAACACATAATTAACTAGGCAGATATAATTAGATAAGAAACACGGCAACTAGAATGTTGGTCAAAACTGCATAAGCTAATAGCATATCTGGACCTACTATAATTGTATATAAATTTATAGCACTGAAACTAGAAACTAAGAAATAAATTGCTACATAACATCCCACTCAATGTCATTGATATTCAAAACAGGCATCTATAATGTTTGAAGCTCCACTCAAAATAGAATGAGATGTAAACATAGATGAGCAAAATCTAATTGCAGAATGTTGTCTCTTGAAAAATTAATTTCAGTGATTCAGTCTTTCACCTAAAAGGATAGTTCAGGGAAAGTGACATGTGCTGGAATCATTTAACAAGAAGAAAGCATAGTCAGACAACTTACTTTGAGTCATGATGACAAAGCACTGCAAGATTATTCACACAGCTAAGAAATTCAATTCATCCAAAACCCATAATTGTGTGACACCAAAGTACCTCATACAACAGTTACTTCTCAATCCAGTCAACAATGTCATCACATCCCATAGCAGTTCAGAACTTCATTGATTGATGGACCTTTAAACCATCTCTTAATAAAAAATAATGATATCCGACTCACACAATCAGAATCCCTATGTTATAATAGGCATTATTATTTTCCCACTTGAAAACAGGAAAGTACAAAACAATGGGTAGCCCAAACTAGCAACGAATCATCAAAATGCAAACGGGTCTTCCATTCCTGCAGTCACCAGTTCAATCCGTCCCAAATCCAATTTATGATAAATATCACATAAGATATCGCAAAACAAAATCTCCCTGGCAGCAATCAAATTCCCAAAATTCAGAATTGGCAACAATCAAGACAGAGGTGCAATCTTGACTATATTAGCTCTGGAGATCATTCCTTTTCTCGGTATGAAATTCAGCTTCCTTCTTCACTTAGTGATTAACTGAACCAGGAATTCAAAGGCAAGTCAATCTTATGCAGCTATAATCTTGAGCATATGTGAGACAAAAGTGTAACATTGATAGGTTTTCGTTCTGGCGGATTATATGCCTAACATGTAGGTAGTTCTTCTGTCTCTTTACTGACTTAGTTGGCACACCAGCAATGTGCAGAAAAGTCAGTCTTATGCAGGAGCTGGGTAGCTTGAATAAAAAAACATAGCGACACAAGCAGAACCAGTCAAAATCAAAATATACCTCTCTGACCAGTTAACTATATTCAAATGTTGAGTAATGCCCAAATCAACGGCATTCAACCTCCAGCACTTTAAGCATCCAAAGGACCACGGATAATTAGGAAAATCTTGATGGTACCACAGTACCCACAGGACCTCAAATAAACCTCTGTAACATCAACTTTTCCAGACTAGAGAAAATTTCTGATTAAATGTGTTTTAGGTTCCATTGAGAAAATGTTATAAACTCACCAAGTTCAGGCAAGATCAGGTTCCTCGGATGAATTCAAACACACAAAACTTCTTTGAACTGGCATAAAAAACCACCTCAACTGATCTACATAGTATCACATAATCCTAGCACCTTTTGAAAGGTCCTATGAAAAGGATATTATTAAGCAAAGTACGGTCAACCATTCAGCTCTTAGAAACAAAAAGCACAGGCCCCAGGCATTATCCCTGTCACATTAGTCAGCAGGGAATCCATATATCAATCGAACACTTAGGTACAAGTGGAAATGCCACCTTAAATCCAGAGATCACTAAAAATGTTATTTCACCAGAACTATTGTGAGTATGTAAGCTGGCATATCTGCTGCCCCTGCCTCTATAATAAGTAATCAAACATAAGGGAAGCAGTTCTCGTAATGTGAATATTATATATCAAGGGAGAAAATAAACTGACAGCAAAGCTAGCAGCATCAATAATACTTTAACTTCTGTTCTGAATCTATAATCTAATTAAAATTTTATTAAACATTAAATCTAAGTCTAGAGTTCAAAGGAGAAATATACAGCACAAGATGCGTCTCATATATCAGTAATCATCAGTACCACGTAAAAGTAACCAACTGAATGGGATGGAGGCCAATGTATAGACAAGGAATTGATTTCTTTTGATTGGAAAGGGGAGAGCAGCGCCAAGCATGCTATAATATTAAACTTGTCCACTGATCAGCATACCTAACCACTGAATAGCCATTCCCATTATAATGAATTCACTTATGAATCTCAAACTTGGCATTTATCACTCATGAGGAGTCCCTTTCACAGACACTAGACAGGTCAGTCTGATTTTCTTAGATCTCTCCCATGCACCAAATTTCACATATCCAAAACCACATTCATATTCAGCCTCAACTTCACCATAATAAGAATTAATGTGAATGCTGCTTGTACATAAGTGTGAGTGCTGGCTGGATCATAGTATCCCCAAAAAAGAAAAGAAAGGATTAATTACATAAAGACAAAATTCATTGTTGGAGATAAAGCTGCCAGTCAAGCAAAACCATAGATTTCAATACACAATACACTCACATAAATAGCAGACAAAAGACAGCAAATTACGACTAGTGGAATATTACAACGAGATATCCACAAATAATCATGAACAATTGCAAAATTTCACATAAAAAAACAAATTTTTAAGGCAACCATCTACTCAAAAAAGTGCTTCTGTTGCATTGAATCAACTTTAAGAAAGATATAGCTTTGAAACTTTAACATGGAAGATCTACCAAATCACACTTTACACTTGGTTACTTTTAGTCATGAAAAAGAGACTAAGAAATCTTCAATGGGACAAACACACTCATACAAGTAGCCCCTCAAGTAGAAAACCCAGGCACAAACAAGGACCTCCCATCATCAGTCACAGGCAAAGAGCAATACTTTCTCCTTCATGTTTACATGCTACTACAAATTAATATCATTATACCAACAGGAATATTCAATAATTCAAAGCTGCGACAAAAAGAAATTGAGCTAAGGAAATGAAGAACACCGTAACAAACAATTTTACCAACAATCTTTGCTCAAATCGATTAATTTCCTTTGCACCCGTCATTGTTAAGTAATCATTTTCACACACAATAGAATTAGCAGGCGCTCATGCACACTCGCCCTTTTTCTTTCAATGCTGAATTAACAGAATGACACGGAACTGCAAATCTCACATTGTCACATTAGGGAACTTGTTCCAATTCCACCGTAGCTACCTAATACGGCCATAATAGCAATTACAAAGGAAGATATGCAAATGAAATACCTATTGCCCCTTCTTTTGAAGAACCAAATCAAGACGGGAAAACAAAATTCAACGAAAAAGGTACCTGGCATTCAATAACTTTGCCGCAACGACTAAAGGCGTGCTCAAGCTGACGCTCCGTTACGTCCCAAGACAAGCCTCCCACAAAAATACGGTTTTCTTCTTTCCCAGCCATCGCCACTTCTCCAACACTCTAAATCTAGGAAAACGAAAACACAACCACAAAATTCTAGAAATCAGAAGCATCCAAACTAAAAAACCAACCATTAAACCGAAGCCCAAGGAATGAAAGTTAAAGGGTAAACTTGGGCCGAAAGAGATTTCAGGGAAAATACTCTGAAACTAGAAAAATATGAAGACTATGATGCTTACCCTTGTCAGCGAGCCTGTGGTTCAGAGATCAAAGTGAGTCTCTGAGGAACACTACGGGGAAAATATTTAGGGTTTTCGAACGAAACACCGACCAATTTATCGAATTCGTGGCTTTTCTAGCGAGCGACTGATTTGGAGTGCTGCTCCCGAAGGGGGGAGAATCGTCCGAGCCGCGTAAAAATATAGGAAAAATAATTTTATTTGTACCCGGCAAAAGAGGTCCGAAATAATTTTCCACACTTTTATTAAATAATGGTTATATTAAAATATAGAATATTAAAAAAATATTTTAAATAACCTCTATTCTTTAATATAAGAGTTAGTTTGATTTTTAATATGATCCTAAATATAAGACTCGTCTCTTGTATTTATTTATTTTTTTAAAACAGTTTCTATAGTAGTTGCACATGTTAAATATTCTATCAAATAATAATTCTAACTAATACATATGATTAGCAAGTGTATTCTAAGAAAGATAATGCATATTTATTATAAATAAATAATTTTAAAAACTTAATTTATTTAAATTAGTTCACTAATTCTTATATTAAGGATTGGAGGTATTACTATCTATAAAAGCTAGTTTAACTTTTAATTTGGTTATAAATATAAGACTACAGTCTACTTTTTCTCCCATATTTATCTATTTTTTAAAAATAGTTCTTGTAATAGTTGCACGTGTTAAAGATTTCATTAAATGATAGTTCTAACTAATACACATGATTATAATAAGGGTATTTAGATAAGACAACATATACTCCTCTGGTTCTATTTATAGGGCAAAGAGAGAAGATATTTTTTATCATATTTATAAGGCACTGGGAGAAATTTTTTGTATAGATGTACAATTTTACCCTTCATTTATTATTATGTTTATTTTGTTTGCATGAAGTATAGTGTATATTAAATAGGGATAAAGTTATAAAGTTGTTGAATTTTAAATGAGAGTTAATGACGTTTAAAATTTTTCTTGGTTTAATTTGTATGAAACATGTTGCCAGTAACTTATAAATAGAGCCAGAGTAGTATTTATTACAAAAAACTAATTTAACACACTTTCTTAATTTACTCAAAATAGTCAACTAGCTCTTATACTACTTTCGGTCCTTAATACAAAAGTTCGTTTGATTTTTATTTTAGTTCTAAATATAAAACCCCTATCCAATTTATCTTTTATATTTATTTATTTTTTCAAAGATAGTCTTTGTAATAATAGTAGTTCTAACCAATACACTTGATTAGCAAAGATACTTTAGGAAAGACAATACCTATTTATTATAAATAACTAACTTAACTACTTTTTTTTTAATCTATGCAAATTAGTCAACTAGCTTTTATATTAAGGATCGTAGGTAGTATTAGAGACTAGAGGTAGTTTTGGTTACTTCATTAATTGGTTCGAAACCTCTTCTTTTCCTTTCCTATCCTCTTTCTTTTCTAACAATTAGATTAACATGTTTCGATGGTTGAGATTTTTATTTTTATAAACTATTTACTAAAAGAATTTAAAAATGCTTAGTACATTTGCATACCATTATAATTAAATTTTAATTTATTTGTAATTTATTATTTATTTATTTTTATAATTTAATATTTTAGTAATAGTTTTAAAAAGATTTAAATTTGAACAGTTAAAATATGTTAATCTAATGATTAAAAAAAAAAAAGAAGAGAAGGGAAAAGGATGGGAAGGGAACAGGAGATGTTCTGAGCTGCATCACTAATAACCTTTTTAAAAGAAATCATTAATACCCAAATTAGAATTTACAAATTTTGACAAAACGAAAATTAAAAACAGTTTAATATTGCTTGTTAATTGTTAAGATTGTTTTGTGTTTGAGTTAAAAGAAGTTTAATGCAAATTTTTTGTCACGAATGGGAACATGTGAACTTCAAAATTTGATACATTGATTTCTAGCAATAACTTAGGCTTAATTTACAAGATGTCATCGTGGACTTACATTTCTACTGTGGCTTATCCCACTGTCTTCGTCTTTGTTGTTGCCTTTCACTATGGATGATTTTTTTCGATAGAATTTAAAAATTTTGTCATTAACATTGTTAATTCGTTATTTTTTTAAGCAAACTAAAACAAATAACACCAAATTAAAGACATTAGTATACCAAAAGTGTTCAAACTTCAAACCCCAGGCGAATCATATTTCACTCGTCTTACTACTTGCTTTTATGTGGAAATGTATGTAGCTTTTTGATTGTTAATTGTGGGGAAAATGAAAATTTTAATCCCAAATTTTTATTCAATTATAATTTTGGTCTCTGTAGTCCACGCATTATCAATCACATCCTTATAATTCCACAAACATGTAGAAAGCAATCGTGCGTTGTGATTTGGGGAAGGTGGCATATAGCAAAAGGCACTATTTTCATAATGGTAAGTCCTAAATATTGATCGAGCATGTCTTTTATTTACCAAGAAATAAAAGAGTTTCAATTCAACTAACCGTTTGCTATGAGAGAAGTGAAAAAGATGGAGAAATTTTTTTTATGAATTTGATTTAAAAAATTGGAGAAGTAGGGTTATAAAAATGTAATAAATAGACTATGCAAAATAAAAGAATAAGAAAAATTAATTAAAATTTTTTAAATCAGAATCATGATAAAATTTTACCTTCCCTCATTTTCCTTCCATTTTCCTTCGTACCAAAAAATCCTTTGGCCACAAGAAATTAAAATAAAAGATACAAAAACCTCTGCCACCTCTTTAATGGAATCCACAAAAAAGAAAAAAGACCACTGGCAGCAAAGCCATTTTAAAGGGTGGGGTTCAGAGAGAACCCAGAATTAAGGTCCCACCCTTTTTACTAGTAAGGATGCAACCAAATTGGTTGTAGAAAAGCAGCCACGAGGGGATCCCATAATTGCAAAAAAACACCCATTCATATATACCAATGAACAAGACAAAGCCAAGATTGAACAATGGCTATGTGCCAAGCAAAAACATCTAATGGATCTCAAATAGCATTCTAAACTAGCCACCACTAATCAAAGCTAAGAAGGACGTGAGTTTAAATTCTACTGCTGTATAATTCGTTTTCAAACAATGTTATTGATTGTGCATATTATAAAAAAGTTTTTTTTATTAACAAAAGATGCTCCAGTTAACTAAGAGTTGGTTCATAACTCACAAGATTGCAAGTTTAAATCTTATTGCTAACATAAAAGCTTTATTAGTACATGATATGTGAATATTTTTATAACTACTTTTTGATCTCTTTTGGTCTTGATGAGCTCTCGAGTAATTAATGAAAATAGTTTTAAGGGCAGTTTTTATGAATATTATTAAAATGACAATTTTAAAAAATCATAACATATTTACTATAAATAACTAACATATTTACTATAACTAATTTGTTTTGTATGAGAAAAGAGTAATTTCTAATTGCTTTAAAGCGTTAAGAAAGATCGGATATTCCATTGCTTGTTATGGACTTGCAAGTATAAGGACAAGAAAGTGATTATCAAATATCAATCCCTTCAACTTTGCCCAAAAGTTAGATATGATTGTATAGTCCACTGTCCACGTGTTGCTTTGCATGTCAAGTATCACCCACCTCTACTATAGGCTTCTGCCACCTTCCCAAACTTTCCTCCATTTACATTCATATCCTTCCTCCCTCTCTTGACCGCAGGATGTCCATCTAAGGTCAAAAACGTAATTTCGACATCCGCGAAAAGGCTCGATTTAAGCGGAAGAACCCGAGCTGAAGGGTTGGCCATTGCATGCACAGCGAAGATGGGTGATCCAGGCCTGGATCTCACGCGCAGGGCACGTGCTTCCATCTTCCTCTTCGCTTTCACTCTGTCCACGTTGCTCCTCGCAGATGGAGGGAAGCTCATCAGCTTCAGAGACAACGATCTTCTCGGAGCCGAGAAGAAATTCCGAGTTTTCATGGAAACTTACGAGAAGAAGTACTCCAGCAGAGAGGAGTACCTCCACCGCCTGAGGATTTTCGCCGACAACCTGATCAGAGCGGCGGAGCACCAGGCCTTGGATCCCACTGCTGTTCACGGCGTCACGCCCTTCTCTGATTTATCGTCGGAGGAGTTTGAGCAGATGTACACCGGCCTCAAAGGTGGCTTCGGGATCAATAATGGGCTCAGCGACGGCCGGACTGGCGGTGAAGCACCGCTCTTGGATGTTGAAGGTCTGCCGGAGAACTTTGACTGGAGAGAAAAAGGGGCCGTTACTGAAGTCAAGACGCAGGTAATCAAAGCACAAATTTATTAACAAAGCATCAATGAAAAAATTAAGTTTTCTCTCGACTTCGAAATATATATACATATACATGTATGTATTTAATTAGGTCACCACTTTTTTCTCAACAAGATTTCTTAACTAGAATCGAGTAGCTTGTGATTCTTTACATAGATCATTTACGATGCAGGGCGCATGTGGATCATGCTGGGCTTTCAGCACCGCAGGAGCTTTAGAAGGAGTCCATTTTATCGCACCGGAAAGCTTTATCGCAACCGGAAAGCTTGTGAGTCTTAGTGAACAACAGCTTGTAGACTGCGACAACAAGGTATAATATATGTATGTATAACAATATACTGGAATGATTAATTCAGAGTTAGTTGATTAATTGATTGTTTGGATTTTTTGTTGATGTCAGTGTGATATAAAAGAGAAGACAGAATGCGACAGTGGATGCAGAGGAGGTCTGATGACAAATGCGTATAGGTACTTAATGGAGGCAGGTGGGTTGGAAGAAGAGAGTTCTTATCCCTACACTGGAAGACGAGGCGAATGCAAGTTCGATCCTCAGAAAATAGCCGTTAGGGTCTCCAACTTCACCAACATCCCTGTGGACGAATCTCAAATTGCTGCCTACTTAGTCCACCATGGCCCTCTTGCCAGTAAGTAGCTAGTTAGTCTCATACTTGTTTCATTATTACTCCCTATATAGAGATTCATCATTCTATGTTCTACTCAACCTGCAAGAGCAAATACATTTTGCATCTCTCAGTGTTGAATGGACTTTAGTCTAATTTATCAGTAGATTCAAAATTTGCAGTTACTTTATGCTTAATTCCAACATGTTGGATAAACTATAAAAGCATATTTGCATGGATCAGTACTGTTGCATCCACCTATATCAGTAAAATTATGCACGGTTGGATTAAATTCTGTGTTCTTGCATGCATATACTTTTACTCTAACATTTCAAACTCAAACTAGATGAACTATATCAATATATATATTTTGTGGCATGTATGATAGTGTGCTGTATCGACCTCTTGATTTCTACCCATAACCGACTCTGCTCTCCGTCCCTACGGTGCCACCTATAATCTAATATTGTTATAGTACAGTTAAAACTTGGCAGTTATTGGAGTGAATTCTATGATTTTGCAAATATATTGGTTTTGTTCCATATGGATCAACGTTATATGATCTAGCTTCTGCCTGATATATGTATATTGTGATAAATGACAGTAAACGTATTAACTCATGATTGTTATGTATAGATACATATATATGTGTGTATATATATCTATGGAGTGAAATGATGATGATTGTGCATCAATGGAAATAAGAGTGACTTTTGTTGCATATGGTTGTTTGGTCTAGATGTTGCATGATGCCTGTTGTATAGATTCTGATAAGTAGTGTTAGGTAGATATGTATATATGGAGCTGATGATATATTATGAGTAAAATGATGACAGTGATTAATTGTGCAGTGGGAATAAATTCGGTGTTCATGCAAACATACATAGGGGGAGTGTCGTGTCCTCTTATATGCAGCAAGAGAAGGTTGAACCATGGGGTGTTGCTGGTTGGGTATGGAGCCAAAGGGTTCTCTATTCTGAGGCTGAAGAACAAACCTTATTGGATCATCAAGAACTCATGGGGAAACAAATGGGGCGAGCATGGCTACTATCGCCTGTGCCGCGGCCACACCATGTGCGGCATGAACACCATGGTCTCCGCCGCAATGGTCCCTCCCATCCACACTGCTCAATCCCTTGCTTCTTATTAGCTGATCTTACATTACAACATACCCTCTCCGAGTTCTTAAATGTAATACTCATTTTGTAGTGTAATTTGTACTATAATATGGGACAAATTACACTATAAAATAGGTTTTGGACTTACATCTTACAATATAATTATCAGGTCTTTCATCAGGCACATCTAAATATGTGTGTTTGTGGATCTTAGTTTATGCTTCGGGATTTAAGGCTGTAGTTTACTTATATCTAGGTTGCTAGTTTAGGCAATTTACGAGATATGTTTCCAGTTTTCTGTCATGTAGTAGAAGACTATAACTTCTTATAGAAGAACAAAATCACTTTTTCCTTTTGGTATTATGAAAGTTTTATATTTATGTTGTAGATATTTTATTTTTAACGCACAAGAGCTCAAATATTAAAGCATTGCTTTTGAAGAGCTCTTTCACTATACATTTATCTATACCATAGCTAATTCTGAAGAGCCCTTTAACTGGACTTTTATCTTAAAACATATCTTCCAATCTATTTGTTTGGGTCCAATGATCCAATTGCATTTTTGCCCCACTCAAAAGAGTGAGAAAAAAAAGAAAAAGAAAATATAAGAAAGAAAAGCACGGGTTAATTAATAGTAGCAAAAACCACCCACATAATATTTTTACTAATATTTCTCTGTGTATTGGAATTAATCATGTTTTATTATCTATTATAATAATTTTTATTACCATAGATTATTCATATTTAAAATACTAAAGTAATATATATGATCTGTTATTCTAATCAATTTTAACATAAAAAAATAGTGACACAACGTTCATATAGTGGAGACTAAATGAAAAGAAATTATAAATGGTTAGGACTTAGTTAAAGTTTTGAAATTGTAAAAATTAAAAAATTCAATTAAATCGTAGGTACAAAAATATCGAAAATTTGAAATATATAAATATGTTTTCTGGTGTTAATTAAAAAAAATAAAATAAAAATATTCTTTATTTTTAATTAGAATGAAATAGAAACTGTGATTAACGGAAAAAGCAAGGCCCCAGATATTTTAGCCGTCGTGGCCGGCGCCCTGACCTTGCGTGTGTCTGTCACTCCCATGTGAACCGACAAAACACTGCTCGCTCGCTATCTATATATACTCATTTCTTGAGACGAAACCCTTACTTCCTCGCGAATCACAACAAAATGGGGCTTTTTTGGTCAATCTTCTTCTCGTCTCTTCCGGTGTTTCTCTTCGTCTTTTCACCATCATCGTCTGCGAAGATACTTGATGATCCTCGCCAGGTGCCGTCCGATTTTGCGTCGATTCAGGCCAAGAAGCTCATCAGACAGCTCAATTTGGCCCCTGATGCGGATGTCAACATTGTGCGCGGTGGGAATCCTTCGGTCGAACCCAAGAAGATCGTTGAGAGGCCACTTAGATTCCCCAATTTAGTGGCTTCCGAGTCTGGGGTTTCTGTCGAGGACTTGGGTCATCATGCTGGCTATTACACGATTGAGCATTCTCATGCAGCCAAGTATGTTTTTTAATGCTCAAAGAACTACGATGTTATTTTTTTTTTTCCCAATAGGATGATTGAAGGTTACAGTATGCAAAGCGGGCTTGGATGTATAAATTTGACTATCGTTTTTTGTTGGTTTAAATGAGCAGGATATTCTCGTAGCACACCAATAAAACTGTTCTATTCTCTTTTTTAATCGTTTTTATTTATTTCTAACTGCGGGTCGAATCTGGCAGGATGTTCTACTTCTTCTTTGAATCTCGCAACAGCAAGCAGGATCCTTTTGTTCTTTGGTTGACTGGAGGACCTGGGTGTAGCAGCGAAATGGCGATGTTTTATGAAAATGGCCCTTTCAAAATTGCGGACAACATGTCCCTTTTGTGGAATGACTATGGTTGGGATAAGGTATCTTTTGTTTTCTTTATGAGTTTTTGTGGTTAACTTGTCCTTCTTTGGGAGTGCTTGCATTGTTTGCATTGTGCATGTGCAAGGTTAGGGTCATGGGCAGGGCGCATGTGTATTCAAGATTTTCTTGCTGCATATCAATATGTATAACAAATGATAGAGCAAAGCTTATAACATAGTAACTTGGTGAGTGTTAGCAAACGCATGCTGTTTGTAGTGCTGCACTGCTGTGCCTTAAACGGAAAGGTGTGATGCGGGCTTTCAGCCTTTTACGTGGAGAAGCAAATTTAATTTTCTCACACCTTTTCTTTTAAATAAACTTGATATTTCATGTTGTCTCTTTTCTAATATTTCAATTTAAATTTTTTTACATTTGATATTGAAATTAGTCTGTAAAATTATTTATAATATTTTTCAGTTATTTTTATCTCTGGATATGGTTATCTTATTGTGAATTGTCTTTTGGATTTAAGAAGATCCGATAGATATCTTAATTTTTTTGAGCAAAATGATAGATATCTTAATTAGTATAGCCATTTCTGGTAGCAACTTCATTCTGTGGTGCTGTTTCTCTGCTTGATTTATGTGCTGTAGTTAACTGGTTTCTTGATGATCCCTGCAGGTTTCGAACCTTCTGTATGTTGATCAACCAATTGGAACTGGCTTTAGTTATAGTACTGATAAGCGTGACATTCGGCATGATGAAGAGGGTGTTAGCAATGACCTTTATGACTTCCTGCAGGTGCTTATATTTGCTGCAAATATTAGTTATAGAGCCTCAGTGCAATGCTCCTTTATCATAAGGCATTTATTATTCAAATTGAATCCTCTCCCTTGCATTCATGCATTTGGATAGTGAGCAGCACAAGAGAATGTTGTTGTGTATTGGATCCATATCTCACAAATATTCCGTACCATTTATTATTTCTGCCTTTCTGGGGTGAATTTTGTGTGTATGTTATAAATTTCACCAAGTTAATAGTTCTTTGATAGTGGCTACTACTAAGATTGGCACGACCACTTGCTTTAATATACTCGGCCAAGTCATGCCAGTATTATTTTGACTTAGCGGGGTCTTTTTTCTGTGTGCAACATTGCAGGCCTTCCTTGCTGAGCACCCTGAATATCAACAGAATGACTTTTACATTACGGGTGAATCGTATGCTGGGCACTATATTCCTGCCCTTGCAGCTCGAGTCCACAAGGGAAACAAAGCTAAAGAAGGAATCCATATAAATCTGAAGGTTTGTCACATGACCCTCCAAATTAAATTGAAGAGTGAAGTGACATACTCATTTTATTATTTAAATTGGTTGAACAGGGATTTGCCATTGGTAATGGGCTTACTGATCCAGCAATTCAGTATCGAGCCTATCCAGATTATGCTTTGGACATGGGCATAATTAATCAAGCCACCCATGACCGCCTCAACAAAGTGCTGGTGCCTGCCTGTGAACTGGGAATCAAGCTATGTGGTAATTTATGCGTGACACTATTGCATCCTCTTATCTTTATGAACTTTTCCATCATGATTGTGTGTCTGGGGTCTTCTCATGAATACTTTTCTTAATCCTTTCAGGTACTGACGGGACGGTCTCTTGCTTGGCTTCATATTTTGTTTGTAATGTCATATTCAGTGACATCATGTTACATGCTGGTGATGCAAATGTGGGTAGAAGTTACTTCCCTCTTTGTATGGTAGATATGCCAGTTATGATTTAATAATACTGAGAATCTCTGGAGAAGCATAGGTTCATAGGCAAGGACTAAAGACTAACTATCAGTAAACTCGAACCCCCTTGAATGAAAATGCATTCAGCATGATGCATGAGCAACATATCCATCGAAGAGATTGAGATTTGACCCGCTCACACAAGAAAGCTCAAATAACATGTCAAAGAATTACTCGACAAACAATTGTAGTTGTTAAGAAATGTCTTGAATAACGTTATCTTCCTGATATTAGAATTAGATGATATAGTTTTTCAGTTCTTGTACCGCAAAAATACCTGTTTTTCTCTGCAACAAGATTCTAATGTGTTGAAGGAACATTGGTAGATTTAAGATTTTAACCAGCATTTATTTATACTGCAGTACTATGATATCAGAAAGAAATGCGTGGGAAGTCTTTGCTATGATTTTTCAAAGATGGAGAAATTTCTGAATCTAGAATCTGTTCGGAATGCTCTTGCGGTTGGCGACATTGATTTTGTGTCTTGTAGCCCTTCAGTTTATCAGGCTATGATTATGGATTGGATGAGGAATCTTGAAGTTGGTATTCCTACCCTTCTTGAGGACGGAATCAATTTGCTTGTTTATGCTGGCGAATATGATCTTATCTGCAATTGGCTGGGTATGTAACCAATCAGAGCTTATTCCTTTTTTTTTTTTTTTATATATATATATTCTGTTAAGAAGTTCAATATTGAAGTGCATGCATTGATGGACATGACCTGGTGGTATTATTTCAATGGATAGGTAACTCGAGATGGGTTAATGCCATGGAATGGTCTGGCCAGAAGGAGTTTGTAGCTTCACCTGAAGCTCCCTTTGTTGTGGATGGCTCAGAAGCTGGATTGTTGAAGAGTCATGGACCTTTAAGTTTCCTCAAGGTCTATCTTCACCTTTTCCTATGTTTCTTCTTACACGACACACATGCTTTAGGCGTGATGATAATCGTTATCATTCTTAATGAAGAAAACACTAAAGCACAAAGTATTGCAAATGCTGTGGAAACTGTGATGTAATTGATTGCTTTATAGTTTGCTCTGTTGAATGTTGATAGAAAATACTGATTCATTTGCATATTACGCTCAACAAAAACCAGGTTCATGATGCGGGTCACATGGTTCCAATGGATCAGCCCAAGGCTTCATTAGAGATGCTGAAGAGGTGGACTCGGGGGACCCTTTCCCAATCTGGTGCTTACATGGGAAAATTGGTTGCGGAGATGTGATCTCTTTTGTTGCCTCGTTAGTCTTAGCGAAAAGGGTACAGGAGCATTGAAACAAAAAGTGTTGGACTGAGTAGCTTGTGCAATAATACATGTATATATGAAACCTGTATTACGCAATATCGGATTTTTTTTTCCCAAAGTAACTTTTGGTACTCTTGGACTGTATTTGTCATATCCAAAATTATACGTGGCTCATTTAGAAAACAGAAACAGTGGGATTATACCAAGTGCTTGGTTCACCTGGCAGGGGCTGTATCTTTTTAATCAAGGTTTTGGAGTTTGATTCCCAAGAATGCATCTTCGATAACTTCTCCGATTGAAAGCAGAGTACCCTCAGATGTGGAGGGGTCTAGTCCTTTTTTTTTTTTTTTTTTTCTTTTTTTAAAAAGAACATTGGAAGTATATGATGCCTTATTTTTTTATTTTGCCGGATAATGATGCATTATAGTGAATAATAAGGTTAACTTGTATAAAATTTTCTTAACTTATGACATCTATAAATAGCCTTCTTAACCTCTAAGACCTCGTAATAAATTCTCTTGAACTTTTAATTCTATGTATATAACTATAAATGATCACTTTTTTACTTCCTATAAACTACTTTTTATGTAGATAACTTTAAGAGTTTAAATAATTTGCAGATAAATAATAAGCAAGTCTACTAGTGTGAGATCTATTTACATGTTGGCAAAAAAAAAAAAAGATATTTATTTATATAACCGTTATGTGCACAGTACACTAACAAAATGGCCGGAATTCATTTTGGGTAAATACCTATTCTCTCCAATTCGTTCCCACAAAATGTTTCCAAATTATTATTTTATTTTATTATAAAACAAGTTCATAAATATAAATTTTGAAAATAAAAATGTTTTTAAATTACTACCACCTCTAATGCTTAATATAAGAACTAGTTGAGAAAGTTTGTTAAGTTAGTTATTTATAATAAATATGAGTTATCTTTTCTAAAATATTTTTGTTAATCATATGTATTAATTAGAACTACTATTTAAGAGAATTTAATATTTTGAAAAAAAATAAATAAACATGAGATAAAATGAACTGATGCCCCACTTAGAACCAGTTATTTGTAGTATTTTATTTTATCAATTAATATTTTATTTCATCAATCTTTGCCCAGGAAAAAAAGATGATTCGTAGTTGCGGTGTTCATTATTTCAGGGGGTGCGCATTGGAAGAATATCTCACGAGAGTGTAGAGTAGGAGAAGAAACAGTTCTGCGCAATCATGTTATCCTTTGTTAGGCTCTCTCCCAGTTATCGTTTGTCCTCTTTTGCGCTAATGCCTTCCTTAGCTTCTGCTTCTTCCTTTGTTAACTCACATGTCTCAACGTCATCTTCTTCCTTCTTCAACTGGGTTTCGAAATCTAAGCTCAAGAATTCTCACAGAGCATCCTCTGAAGGTGAAGTTGACTTTCTCTGCATTTTTAAATTTCAGCGTCGGATTCATCTTGAATGAGGCAATTAGGACATGCGTCTTCGTTTAATTGAGTCTTGCTATTCTCTGTGATGTTCAATGTTGTGACTGTTGTTGGTGGGAAATTACGCTTTTGCTGGTAAATTCTTGGGTTGGAGCGTCTGGAGTTGTTTTTGTGGCTCATTGTTTTAACTTCAAATCCCAGACAGAATACAAAATTGGGTGACCCGAGAAAGTTAGACAAGAGTACAAAATTGTATTTCCGGAGTTGAAGAAGTGTTGGATATATTTATGTATTTCTGTCGTCTCCACTTGTCGGCTCTTGTATATTCAGGAGAGTGGAGGCTCTAAGCTACACATTATTATTTCCTCACATCCTTCGAAGTGGCAATGCTCATTTTATTTAAATAATGTATTTTCATCTTGCAGGAGTTCCCAATGAGTTGATTGAAGACTCAAAGTTTGTTCCTTTGAAAGCTGATGACCCTAATTATGGTCCACCTGTAAGTCATGGTTAGTTTGTCTCCATCGTATAATATTTTATTTGTCACTTAATCTGCTTTTTTATGTTTCTTCCATGAGTGCATAGTTTCCAACATGTACTCATTTTAAATATGTAATTTTGATTCTAAAAGTCGCCTTACGTTGAGTTGTTCAAAACTGTCCTGGGACATAAGAGATTCAATTTCTTCACAAAACTGTAAATGTTCCATTTATTTTCCCCTGGATCTGAGCCCACTTCTGTAAGAGGGAATTACTTCACCTGGAAATCAGAGTGGTCTAAGTTGTTAACGATGAGTCAACCTATATTTTGTTCTGACTTCATATGAATGTAAGATATAAATTTTCTATCTTTCTGCAGGCCTTACTGTTATTGGGCTTTGAAGTAAACGAGGCTTCAAAGGTACATTATGATCCATCTAATAGAATTTGACAACGCTTTTAGAATTACTTCTGATTGTTCATCTGCTTGGTATCTTCTCTGTCTCTATATGGGTTTGGCATTCTGTGTACTTTATTCTTCAGAATATCCTATTCTTTGATTATTGTTTATGTTCTGTATATGGTGACCCGAGTTACTGTTAGAATTAACTGATCGCGAATTACTTCCGAAGGTCTAGTAAGTGTGTTCAATTACAGCCAATATACCACCTTATAATAGAACTATCAATATATGGCCAATAACAAATCTGATAGAGCTGCGTTTAGAATTTAATTCAGCAAAGTTATACTTCCATACTTATATCTGCCATTTAATAAAATATAATGGCACTCTGGCGTTGTGCAGATTCGACAGCTGCTGAAAGAGTTAGATGGGGAATTCCTGAAGGTAATATTTTATGTGATGTTTTTCAAGTTAACACCCTATTGGGATACCGGGACATATCAATGGAGTAAATTTCCTGTTAATGATATAGAGAGAAATGGGTTTTAATTTCCTTCTGTTTCTTACATAAAACAAGATAACTTATTTTGATAAAAATTATTCAATTTCCCTGGAGAATCCACCACATGGATCAGCTTTTTCCTTGGCATGGTATTATGCCTCTAGTTGTTCTGGTAAAATTGGATTTCATGATTACTCATTATAACTATGAGGGAGGGGTTTCTTCAAATATCAAAAATCTTTCCGTGCAGAAGGCAACTTAGTTTCCCTAAAATATTTAGTAAAGGAGGAGTGCTTTAATTTCTATCTGGTCTTATATTTCTTACAAATACTGAGATGGTCACGTCTGAATTAACGATCATTTTATTCTCTTCAAGTAAGATAGAAGTGACTCATCGTTTTAGTCCAACCTGTATATTTAGTAAGCTCCTCTTTCATGGAATTTATCAGTACATATATATGATAGTGCCAATTAAATGGCATAACCAATTATAGATGCTGCATCAAAAATTACAGAAATGTTTAACAATATTTTCCTCATACGACTAATTTATGATTGTAATATAGAGTGTGCATGCTGTTTTATAGAACATAAAGTTGTAAAGGTGATGTGTCAAATTGTAGGTTATCTTTTGTACGAAAGGCATGGTCACTTGCTCTCTTTGGGAAGCAATGCATACGACACAATCCAATCTGAAAGAAGACGAGGTATTTCTGTCAAGTAGCTAATGGATATAGCATCGTCATGTCATTTTACTCTTCTTATATGCTCATGAATAAGTGGTATTGGCAAAGGAACAATAATCAACAGAAGAACTGTTTTTGGATGGCTTTTGGTGTGCTTGAAGAATAAGCTTTAAATTGAGATTTTTAAGAATTTCTACAAATCTTCATTTCTTTATATGACAGAATTGTGGATAACCTCAATGGTTCCACCTGTGTCCTGACCTTTGCATCAATCAGCATCAGATTTTTAAAGCTGAACAGAAATATCCTCAGGGTTTTTCTCACGTCACTACACTCTTATTGACTGAAGCAAAATGCATATCAATATTTATCTGGATAAATACTCCTTGTCATAATCAATGCACGGTTTGAGAATTTTGTCCCCTGCAGATTGATAAATCACTGCCTCGGATATGCTTCTTATCTGGTTTAAGTGGGGAGGAGATGATGATGTTCATAGACGCTTTCCCTGAAACCGGTAACGAAATTTTCATCACATCCTCAATTATGATACTAGTGAAAACTTCTCTGTCACTTAAATATTTGTACCATTGAAAGATCTTCTAAAATTGGCATCTAGAAATGTTAATCCATCCCAAGGTGCAGAGTTTGGGGTTCCTCTCACCATCGTCCAGCATTTAAGAGATCTTGTGCTTAGCTGAGACTTATTCAACTGAGGCAGAAATGGAAACCAAGCAATTTATCCCATTTGGAAGAATCCTTTTTTGGTTCCAAAATACAACCCAAAAAAAAAAAAATCATTTTTGATAAGTTCTTTTGATGATGTTTCCACCCCCTATTGCCATAAAATGTTAGGTTTTTGATCGACTGTTTGATATAAAGGTAAGATTGCTTGTAGTTTGAAGCTCACATGTTGTTTTCTTTCCTTTGATGCAGGACTTAAACCAGCCGTGTTTGCGGCTCTTGTTCCCAACAGTGCCAACAAACCAATTCAGGAGTTGATAGAAGAAATAATGGGTGACCATGAGATGCTGGTACGTGTTTATATTTATTTCTTTGCATTTTAGTACTCTTTTTCTCTTTGATCTGATGAGTTCGATTTGTTTCCCATGAAGACTGGTGAAACGATGTGAAGAGTCTACCCAGAAGTGGATTGCAGAATCTAACTGCTATGACAGTCTGATTTCGTTGAGGCAAACTTTGCTTCCACAGTATCATGCACAGAATGCATTGTAAATTTAAATCTGATGTCTTCACCATAACTTGTGGAAGTGGTATATATTGTTAATATACCTCAGTTTCGACGGCCAATATTGTTCATTCACTGAGAATGTAATCTGTTATTTTGCTTTGGCGTTGCTTAGAATTTTGGTTGAGAAATATTTTTGGTCTGAGGAAAAGAGATAACCCGTGCTGCAAGGAACTGATTTTTTTTTTTTTTAATTGAGTTTATATATGACCTGAAATTTGGGGATGTCAGACGATAGTTACTCTGATAACATGAGGTAGAACAGACCTATCTAGAAGCTGACCAAAAAAAAAAACCCAATAAAATAAAGAGCATATTTGGTTTTACATTCAAAATTGTTATGCATATGTCAATACCATAGTTTTGTGATGCCCAACTTTAAATCAAACATTTAATAGTGCCACAATATATATTTCCTTGATTCTAAATATAAGATTTGGATGAAGAGATAAAGAAACTAATTAAGTTAATTATTTACAAAATATATATATTAAAATACCCCAACTTAATAAAAATCTAATAAAAGTTTAGAAAAAAAAAAAATTTCTATCACCTCTAGTTCCAAAAATAGTAATGGACAAATATGTTTATTTTAATTTTTTAAATATAATATCTCAATTTTTTTTTAAATTTATAATTTTTTTCCAAATACCCCATTCTTTGTGCAAGGAGTTTTCATTAAATGATAATTATGATGCATATCAGTAAAAATAATCTTCTAAGAAAGCCAACGTATTTATTGCAAATAATTAAATTAAATGACTCTCAATATCTATAAATTAGTTATCTTAAAAGTATAAATTTTTAGAATCATAACAAATTCCCTCTCTGTAGTTTACATTTAAGGGCATGGGTAAGTATCTGGCCACCGAAAACAAAAATGACGGGGAAGCAATAAATAACACCACTAGCAGATGACTGGAGGTTAAGCTTACATCCACCATTGGGGTTAAAGGATCACTGTCTTCCTTCACGGTGGGTCTCACGTTCAAATACCATGCGCTGCATCATTCACAAAAAGATGTTTCCATAACCACTCTCAATTTCCATAACCATTTTCGTAGGATTTTTTTTTTGGCCAATAGAAATTTTCCTATGATAATTTGTATGATTGCAATAAATCCCGAGTCAAAATTTCTACTACGCCCAAATGGCTCAATACACAGCCAAGTAAAGCTCACAAAACAATAACAAATGTGTATGCCTGCATTAAATTAACGCATCTACAAATTTTCTTGTACAAGGAATAGCTCTTCCCTACAATATACAAATACCCTATGGTGATGAAAGCTCGTGGTGCAACAACTGTAATGAGACTTCACAGCAGCAAATATCCCAATGCTCTGCGATGTCCGAAGCCACAATTTGAATCCAAGAATTAGCTTTGTCGATTTTATTATACAGATTCATCTAAGCCACCAAGATTGAAAAGTCGTGACTGTCTCGTTGACTGGAAGAACCTCACCAAATCCCCCAACAGATATTTGTGAACGAACATTTGTCTCTGATCCCTCATAACCCCAAACCTCACAGAGGATCAATGGATCCACTTTTGAGTCTCTCCATCCGAGCTTGAAGGCCTGACAATGCTTTCTCATCCATTGGAAGGACTCCTTGCAAAGCATTCTCATTCCCAACTCGGTCGGACGTCTGATTTGGGGCAGGTCCATGGTTCAAGTTGTCATTAACATTTGTTAATGGCCTAGAAGCAGGATCTGTACCACCACCAGCTGCTGCTAATTGCATGCTCTTCATTCTCTCTCTGATAGCATCTAATGTTCCACTGGTTACTGAAATTCCAAATATAACTTCCTCAGTAAAAATTTTCATTGGAATTCGAAATGTAAAAGCAAAACAACAACCAGAAGTAGTGACATACCTCCGCCCATAAATCTTTCATTTGATGTGTAGTCAGCATTTAATGCTCTCGAAGTAACAGCTCTATTCTCCTCATTATATGATGATGGTGGCAAATTAAAACATGCCGGTTCAGGTTTTACATTTAATTTAGCATCATTTAATGGATTTGAATTGACAGGAGATAGTGGTGCAAAATCAGGGGAGGAAGCATTTAAAGATGCTGGTGGCGGAGTAGGCATTGGTAAACTAGAAGGAGTTCTTCCAGCTGCAGCATTCTTTTCCATCTGCCAAAATAGTCAAAACTTGTTATTGCAACACAACAGCAAGGACATGTAATGTCACTCTTTCCTACTAATAATCGTCCACCTAAAGTTCAAGGGCGATTAAGCATGTTTAATAATAGAGATTAGTGTTAGTGCAAAACCTGAGCAGACCATCTCTGATGTAAGTACGAAATGCCTCACTAGCATTTTGAAGCTGAGCAAATAATATCAACCTGACAATATTTCAAGAGAAATTTCATTCAGAGAAATTTCATTCAGACATTGACCTGATGCAGACAATAGCAAAAATAGAAATTCATGTGAACCATGAACTCATTAACATACCAAGAACTTACCTGTGGGTACAATTGAGTAATGCGGTATAGTTCATATAGACCAATCGTGCATGTTTGCTTGTCGCCAATCTTCTTAAATATTGCAGCCAGCTCTTGCTGAAGAATACATAGGTTTTGGTGATGCAAACAAAAAGCGAAAGTCAAAACACAAGAAAAGAGACTATTGTCACCTTTGAGAGGCGCTGGTTTGGTATGTATTAAGCAATTCATTAATTACTATTTATATGTTTTTGTAGTATATGTTATTAATTCTTTAGTTATGTACATCCGAGGATTAGATATGGTTATTATATACCACCTCCGATCCTTTATATGAGAGCTTGTTTGACTTTTATTTTGGTCCTAAATATAAGACCCTAATATACTTTGTCTCTCATATTTATCCATTTTTTTTCCAAGATAATCTTTAATAATGGTAGTTTTAGATAACAAACTTGATTAGCAAGGATATTTTAGAAAAACAACACATATTCATTACAAATAACTAACTTAAATAAGTTCCTTAATTTTCTCAAATTAGTCAATTGGGTCTTATAATTAGAAACGGAAGTAGTACTATATTAATATCTGTCATATCTCACCTATCTTGAAAGAATAAATGAGATACTAGGATTAGTTCTATTATACTGGGGTTAGTTTACGTTCGCTCATGTATACACACACCCATCCTTTGTGTACATGGCTTTATTCCAGGACTAATAATAAGACAGAGGTACTGTTTTGAGCCTCCACCTTCAATCCTTAAGTCACATCATCCCATATCAATTAACATACACACAAGTCAAGTCAGTCATTTGGCTTGGACATAGTGGCATACTTTTAGGCTCCATGGATAACATCAAGAATGAAGCTAGTTTCTAGATCCTAATATCGAGAAATATAGTACAATAATACCTTCAACTGGGCATCAGCTGAATGTGTGCCAGATGGCCGAGTAATTTTGCTGCAGAATCACCCCACAATGGGCTTGCCCTCCAGGTCCCGTTGCAGTCAGCATTTCTTGCAGCCAGCAGAGTCTGTAGAGTAAATAGTAAGTATAAGAGAGATCCAATGTAGGTAAAATAATCAAGCAGTAGTTGATCTTAGTGACTACCTCAAGATTTAGATCAATGTAGGCAAGGATGATGGGTTGAGGTTTCATATCGATGGGAACCATTGATAGATGACCCTTTATTGCTGCTCCACGAAGCTTAACGAGTTCATGCAGAACAGTTTTGACCATTCGCAATGGTTTGTCATCAGCACCAGCTCTGCAAAAGTTTTTATACAAGTTTTCAAAGAAAAATCAAGTGATCATCATTGAATAGGTACAAATCTGCACAAAATTTATTATTTAATGCGATAATGGGATGAAAGAAATAGGCTACTTACCTTCTTCTAATTTCTTCCATCCCCAAGTCTTGCAGGTATAAATGAATGCTTTGGAGTATGCGATCAAGGTCTACATCATAGATAGTGCTCTGGAGCACCTTCAGCACAGGTAAATAAACATATAACGTTACACTATACTTTAATCATAAGATAAAAAAAATATAAAGCGAAAGACATTTAACCTAGCCAGGACATCAATTCAGGTTTACCACAATTTGCAGCAAAACACTACAAATTAGTCTCCATCTCAATAATTAAGTGTGGTAAGATAGGACCAGTCAAAATTTGAATGTCCAACCAGACCAGCACTCAGCACAAGTTAAATTAACCAGCTACCATATTCAGATAAAAATAACTATTAAAAACCCAGAAAAGGGGGCAAAACCTAATTCGAAATTAGGGTACAGAGGACAAAACTGCTTATAGGCACAGAAAAATAAATCACCGACTAATATTGACTAATTCCAATAAAATAAACAAATAAATAGCAAACAAAGTAAGATGCAGGTGTCCAAATGGAAGACAGCATCGAAGCAGGAAACAAACAACCCAGTCACCACAACATGCTATCTCATCTCATTCTTAGTTAAAACATAATAAGTGTGGGAATATTCTGCTTCATTGCAAATATTTGTTTGGCTAGAGTATATGTTTGGCCCCTGATTTTACATTAACTTCTAGTTTAGTCCCTGAAGTAAATTATCTTTTTAGTCATTTGGTCTTAACAATGTTAGTTTCATTTCATGGAAAATGAAACTCAGCGAATTGAAATGGTAATTCCATAATTGAAGTATTAGCATTTATTACTCGTGATTAGCCTTTATTCCCTAGTTCTTTCCTCTGTAAACACACAACCATGTAACAATCTCTTGTGCAAGCAATAGAAAACGTTTTTCCCCCTCAATTCCAAAACAGCATGCTTAGTTTCCCCCTCAAAGCCCTTTCTCTCTCAGCTTGCATTCGAGGGAATCACAAGCGTTAGTCAAACCAGGTTCCTCTTGTGTGAAGAATTCAGAATTGTTTCTGGATGACGTTTAAAGATGGTCTCACAATGCACACGGCACGAGAAGCCACTTGGAGTAGACACCTGACTGATTGAGACCTATTTTGGGACTTTCCCAGGTTATTAGTTAACAAGCCAACAAGTCTATGGTATTCAAATGAAAACGACATATAGGCATGGATTTGGCAAACAAGTGTACGATTTTCCAATCAAACTATATGCTTTTTCATGTTTTCAGTGGAAACCTGGTAACAACGGCATAAAGAACTGCATCAAAGTACAATCTAAAAAGAACTCAAGTTATCACCATAGCCCATGTATAGACACATCGCCAAACACCCAAATTTAAGACCCTATTATGAAA